CTCAATCCCAGGACCCTGGGATCATGACCTGAGCTGAAGGCAGATGCGTAACGACTGAGCCACCCAGGTGCCCCCCGTATGATTTTCTTAATAATAATTTCTTTTTTTCTAGCTTACTTTATTCTAAGAATTCAGTACATAATATAACATACAAAATATGTGTGAATCAACTATGTTATTAGTAAGGCTTCAGATCAATAGTAGACAATTAGTTAAGTTTTGAGAAGGTCAAAAGTTATATGTAGATTTTTGATTGCGTATGGGGTCAGCACCCCTAACCCCTGTGTTGTTCAAGGGTCAACTATATAGTCAATCTTATTTTTAAAAAAATCTCCCTTAGAGAGGGAAATTGAAGTCTTTTTTTATACCTTGAAAGTAAAAGAATTGTGATACAGATGAACAAAACATAAGGGCTAAACTTAGTGTAATATAGTTCTCGTATATACAATTAGCACGTTAACCAATAAGGCTTAGTCCTTTTAAAAAAAAAAAGAGAGAAAAGGTACTAATAAGCTCTAAGGTAACATTTTGAGAGAACCACTTAAAAATTATGGTGAAAATTATTGTTGCCCTTTTTCTGTAAGAGACTTGATTCAGGAAACAGTGCTCCGTTACCAGCAGGGCACAAGAATTAGGTTTGAAGAGCGTGGAGAAAGCCTAGAAATTCCATTTCCCAGAAGTACTGACATCTTATCGTCTCCGCGGATGAATTACTAATTTTAGTAGGAATTCTTTCTCTTGGAAGTTGTTTCTGAATTCCTATGACACTAATGATGAGAAATGCCAGTCTTAACGATGACATATTGTTTTGGACGGCTTCCCTTTCAGTCCTGCTACTGCTGCAAACAGAGTATGAAGGAGGGTGACCCAGCCATCTACGCTGAAAGGGCCGGCTATGATAAACTGTGGCACCCAGCTTGTTTCGTCTGCAGTACCTGCCACGAACTCCTGGTCGACATGATTTATTTCTGGAAGAATGGGAAGCTGTACTGTGGCAGACATTACTGTGACAGTGAGAAACCACGATGTGCTGGCTGCGATGAGGTATGTTGTCCGCGGCTCCCGCAGGCAGGCTCCTTCTGGTGTCCCCATAGAGTCCGTCCCCTGACCATCCGCACCAGGCTGTCCTGGCAGAAAGCCCACATGAACTCACCAAGCATCAGTCTCTTTCTTTACATGCAGAGGAGTTGAGTGGGAAAACAACTTTTAACTTCAGGCATTCGGAGAGTGTCCGTGTTAACTGTGTTGACAATGCAAGACTGTCCAGGAACACAGAAGAGTGATTTGGACTAAACTAAATAATAACCTGAGTTTAAACATTAGGCTATTTTCAGACTGAGCCCAGGAAAGTGGGTTGATTTTACTTATGGATCTAAATCCCTTATTGGTCTACAGAACCTGGCTTTGTCATCTATAGCAAAAAGGAAAATACATGATTCCTCTTATTTTTTCCCTCTTCCCAGTTGATATTCAGCAATGAGTACACCCAGGCAGAAAACCAAAACTGGCATTTGAAACACTTCTGCTGCTTTGACTGTGACAACATCCTAGCTGGGGAAATATACGTGATGGTCAATGACAAGCCTGTGTGCAAGCCCTGCTATGTGAAGAATCATGCTGTGGTAAGAAGCATCCTGGGGTATGGTTGCTTGACCTGCTGCAGGACTTGACACTCTGACTTTATTTAAGCCAATGAGAAACAGAAAGGACTATGCTTAAGTAGGAAACCTGCGATTCCTGCCATAGGGTGTTAAAATCCAGGTAACTCAAAAACAGTAATATGCATTGACTGTGAGCCACCTCAAGATTTCTATCTGTACAGTTTACACTATAGATTAGAAGTGCTACTTAGTCATCAAATCCCCACTAAAAAAAAGTTTTTTAATGGGAATGAGATTGATTGGTTCTCATCATACAGATCACGGTCCATTTACATTAAGATTTTTTAGGAGCTGTTTGCATTCTTTAGCTGTTTGAGTGTTTATGGTTTCTGTTCATGTTCCTAGAGCCCCCCACTGTGGCTTCATTTTTTTTTTTTTTAAACCTGGAGATTGTACAATGCCTGTTTCTTAAACCCTCTTTGAATTGATTGACTATAACAAAATTTGACCTGTGTATTTAGATTTATTTGTATCAGCCAAACATTCAAATATTTAATGTGAGAGTATATTTTTTTCTTGGCTCTACCCTGCTTACACAGAGCTGCTATTGCATAATGGCCAAGAGATAAGCAATTTAGATAAAGGATAGATAAAGAAAGTTGACCATATATAGTCAAGTTCTTAATCCAAGGGATATTAAAATGATAGACATTTACTTCTTTATAAGCAGGAAAATATGTACTAAAGTTCCCCAGAGCTATCACGTAAAGCAGGCTCCTGGCTAAGGAATACAGTGACGTGTTTATATCGTTCTAGGGGTGTGGTACTAAGCGAATAAGGTAACAAGTTTTGATGCCAGTGCCAGTTTTCAACCTTTATCCATTCCCTGGGTATAATTCATCATTTTCTATCAATTCTGCCTCATCCATAAATCTCAGATCCTCACAGTTACAACTATACTCTACTTCAGACCTTTATTTTTTATCATTTGGATTATTGTAGTGCCCTCAGATTTGGTCTCCCCACTTCCATTCTTCATCTTGTCCAAAGCCACCTTCCATAATGATAGAAGATAAATCTTCCTGAAATGCAAACCTAATCATTAAGACTTTGCTTAACAGATCCAGCCCCTTCTTGCCTGTTCTACTAGTTACCCAGCCCAAATCATATTCAACAAGTTACTCATTTTCTAGTTTACGCACCATTCTTGGTCTTCTACTCACACTAACTCCTTTGTCTCATGCACCCATTCTCCTTTTCACCTGACCGTGTATGTTCCCCTAGACTGTATGTTCCCCCAGACTCAGTTGGAGGCAAGCTTTTTTAGAATACCTTTCTTGATTTTTTTTTTTCCCCCCAAGTTCCACCCCTTTTTCTCTGGCTAGGATGCCTCTCTGTGCTCCCATGAGGCACATCTGTGTGTAATTAATACCACCCTTCTGTCTCCTCCCCTAGACTATAAGCAGCTGGTGGATAGAGCTTGCCTTTTTATTTCCATGCCCTCAGTGTCTACCCTTAGGAAATGTTCAAGTGACTTCTTTGTCTTCTAATATTTCTCATTTGCTTTGGGATCAACATGGGCCTCCTTATACCTGGGAAAAGGATAATGAATCACCATGTGACCTAGTACATAATTTAGTTAAAAACCGCTTCTCTAAATATTATTGCTACAGTTTCTTTAAAGGTAGATGGTTATCATAATGTGTATTTTATTGTAGGGTTGTGTGACCTTGGTCTCAAGGACTAGGATGCAAATTCCATGCAGGCAGGGAATTTTGTCTGTTTTGTTTTCTATTTCTAACACTAGAACAGCACAGCAGATACTCAATAAATACTGAATAAAGCTTTAAGCAAATGAAGCTGCTTTAGGTAACTGTTACAAGCTTCTCTTCATTACATTGTAACTAACCAATAGAGAGGAATAACCAGAGATATTATTAAAACACAGAAAATTTGTAAATTATTTAGCTTTATAATGTGGCATGATTTCTTTTAGAAAGTTTACTTTCCCAGTAAGGTGTACTATTGCCCTTTGTATAAAATTAAAATGAACAACTCTCTCCATTGCCTGCACAAACCAGCTAATGGCAGAAAGAGCTATCCATGCCACATACGAAATGATGTAAAATTTTGAAGATTGTCTAGTTCAGGGTTATCAATCTGCTTAGATCTTTTAATCTTCAAACAAATTGTTTGTAGACCTGAAGGCAAGAACTCAAAACAGGGAATTTCTGTGGGGGAAAAAAATAACTTAGAAAGAGGATAGTGGGAAATACACTTAGTTTGTCTCTGAATGGTCTCTGGAATTCTGGTCTCAAATGCCCACCCCCCTGAGTTCACATCTCTGAGACTTCACAGGAACCTCCTGCCAGAGAGCTCATTACAATAAGTGTTGTTAATTTTTTCACACTGTGTATGCAAATAAACTAAAAGAAGTAGGAGAAACTGAAGGAAATCAGAACGAATTGAAATATTAGAAGCTTAAGAACCCAGAAAAAATCAAATGCCAGGCAGAAAGTGGTAAAGCACATCATGTCCTAGACCCTCAATGAGGCCTAGGCAACTTTCAGATTTATAAAGAATTAGGAGCGGTAAGTTTTAGCTGGGACTATGTGTCAGACTTTGGGATGAATGACAAATTACTAGCAAAACTAAATTATATAAAACCACAAACCCTAAATTCCTATACCATTCAGGGTGTTCATTAGTTTCTTTTTTTTTAACCTAAGCAACTTCTTTAATTTTACATATAATTGAATAGTAGTTATCTCTTTTTTAAAATCACAAAAATATGAGTTTCAAAAGATATAAAAAGATCCACAAATATTGTTAGAGGGCCGAGATAAACAAGATAGGTCATGGTCGAAAAGCATGGTCTAAAAGCAATTTAAAAAAAAAAATGTGAAATGCTTCTATTTTATACAAAAAAGTTTAAAACATTGAAAAATTAATATGAAACAGAAAACTGCAAAGGACAACATTCTAAATACAAATCTACAAAATATGAATATATGCAAAAGCAATTGCTTTCATGATACAGCTACAAAGTAAGAGCACATTTATAATTAAAACACCCATTTTTGTTGTATTCAGAAATAGTGGTGCATTCATCATGGAAAGAGAATATCTCCCTTGCTTCTCGGGAAACACTAGGTAGACATAACATGGGAATTAAGCAGCTATAATCTCTGTAATTAGAAGCCATGTAGCTCTAAAAAGTATGGAAAGTTGGGGTGCCTGGGTGGCTCAGTAGGTTAAGTGTCCAACTCTTGATTTCGGCTCAGGTCATGATCTCAGGGTCGTGAGACTGAGCCCACCTCGGCCTCGGCTCTGCGCTGGGCATGGAGCCTACTCAATATTCTCTCTCTCTCCCTCTCTCTTTCTCTCTCTCTCTCAAACATAAATAAAATCTAAAAAAAAAAAAAAGCATAGAAAGTATGTTGCATGTTTGAAGTAGATATTTGTAACAAGGCCTCACTTCATACTTCACATCCTAAACCAGTTTCCCCACTGAATAGCAGCCACATTTTAAGGTCTTTTCAAGTAGGGATGCTCAGGCTGAATGACCTATCCAGGTCAATTTGTTGCTTTATCTACTTGTTATTAAATACTTAAAAACTTTAGATAGTCACATTCATTCAGAATATGCACAAACAAGAAGACCTGTGGACTGTCTAGTGTTTTAGAAGTCTTGATAGGGTAGTTTTGTTTTTTGCTAAAATATTGAGGATTATTCATTTATTTTCTTTATATACCTGTTCAGCTAAAGAAGAAAATCATGTGTGTTTGTGGATGTGTGTGTGTGCCGTATACTTATTTGTACATAACATACACTGAATTCCACAGAGAATAAAGTATTAATGTTTTACAATATTAGATTATACATAAATTATGACTTAGAACAGAAGCCAATTAACTACAAGTTATATTTTTAGTGCAAACTAATTATTCTCAAACACTGTCAGTATTTTTAATTGAGTCCTTAATTATTTTGAACATGATTTTCATTTCATACTGTCTAGAAATTAGTGATGTTAATAATCTCATGTGTCAGAGGTAAGACTAGTAAAATTACTACTTCAAAGCTTTAATGAGTGAGGAAAAATCTTTTTGAAGACTATTTTTTAAGAGCAATATTAGGTTTACAACAAAATTGAGAGGAAGACACAGCAATTTCCCATATAACCCCTACACTTACACATATATAACCTCACTCACCTGAATGCTACATTTTTTACCAAAGATTAATCTACATCCACATATCATAATCACCCGAAGTACATAGTTCACCTCAGGGTTCATTCTTGGTGTTGCATATTCTGTGGGTTTGGACAAAGGTATAGAATGGGCAAATGACATATACCCATCATTATAATATTTTAGAGAATATTTTCACTGCCCTAAATGTCCTCTGTTCTCTACCCATTCCTCTCTCCCACCTCCCTATCCCACCACTGGCAACCACTAATCTTTTTATTTTCTCCATAGTTTTGCCTTTGCCAGAATGTCATATAGTTGGAATCATACAGTATGTTGCTTTTTTAGATTGGCTTCTTTCTCTTAGCAATGTGCATTTAAAGTTCCTCCCTGTCTTTTCATGGTTTGATAGCTCCTATCATTTTTTTAGCACTGGTTAATATTCCATTGTCTGGATGTACCACAGTGTATGGATCCCTTTACTAGCTGACGGATATCTTGGTTGCTTCCAAATTTTGGCAGTTATGAATAAGGATTCTCTGAATAACAATGTGCAAGTTTTTGTGGGCATAAGTTTTCAGCTCCTTTAGGTAAATACCAAGGAGCACAATTTTGGATTATATGATGAAAGTATGTTTAGTTTTCTAAGAAACTGCTAAACGGTCTCCCAAAGTGGCTATACATTTTGCATTCCCACCAATAATGAATGAGAGTTCCTGTTGCTCCACATCTTCACCAGCATTTGGTATTATAGGAAAAATCATAAAACTTCTTTATAATTACTAAAATAGAATACACTGGAATGAAACTGCTTTGAAACTTGCCATCCAAGACTTTCTGCTTCAAACACCATGGGGATATCCTGTAAGCACCAAATCACCTGTTCGGTCTTCACCTGTTATTTCTCATAGTGCTCAGCCTATAGACGCCCATTAACAGTGGTTGCCTAAAAGGATTAACTGGAAGGTCACTCTCAGTTACATATTTTTGAAGTGGCCATTCTCAGTTTAATTTACCATCTGAAAGAAAGGTATTGTTTGTTCTAACATGAAAATATTACCATCACAGTTTGATCTCTCATCCTCTTCTCTTATTTGTGTAATCGACTTAACAGGTATGTCAAGGATGCCACAATGCCATTGACCCTGAAGTGCAGCGGGTGACCTACAACAATTTCAGCTGGCATGCGTCCACAGAGTGCTTTTTGTGTTCGTGCTGCAGCAAGTGTCTCATTGGGCAGAAGTTCATGCCAGTAGAAGGGATGGTTTTCTGTTCAGTGGAGTGTAAGAAGATGATGTCTTAAGAGGAAAGTACCAAGCAATATTGAGCCATAGCTATCCTAAATGGTCTGCATTTCTACTGTAAAATGCAATTTGGAAAAATAAATGGAAAAAAAGAAACTGTAAAGGAAACCAGGAGATTTTGTTCAGTATCTATCTTTGCTGTTTTTCCTTATCAATTTTTTTCATCTCAATTTTTAAAACCTGCTTTAAGCATTTGATTTTTAAAACAGTGAAGAATTTTATCTTTCCTTAGCTTTCCACATGTAAAATCTTGGAGGTGGAAGCTTGGGTTTAATTAATCTTCATATGCCCATCCCCCTGTGCCAAACAAAAAAAATATATGTATATGACACTTAAAAATTAGTGTGCTGAAATGGAAAGATGCACACTGCTAGTTCTATATTCTTCTTCCGCTCTTGTGTAAAATGAAAGGAAATTAAACTTGCCCTAATGCCAAGGCTCTGCGTTTATTGCCTTATCTTATTCACTGAACTTTGTAGTGATACTCAGTGAATTCTTTTGACAAAGAAAAGAGAAACGCAGCAGAGTACAGAGAGCTGTTATCATTCTAATGCCTTTGCTCTTTTCTCATTTAGGCAGAGGTAGCTTTATTGCATTTCTCTTTTTTTTTTAACTTGCCTTACCTCACAGCATTCTCTTTGTAAGCTGTTGACCTCTATCTGTGGCCTTAAATACTTTATTGTCACATGTGGCATCCGCTTTTTACTTCTGTAGATGATTTCTGGCTTGGACATAAAAGTCAAGCCATTCATTTATGTTTTCAATCCAAAGAACATGTATACTTTTTGTACCCAAGAAACTATCACTTGTACTAATTGCACTTGCCTACCATGGTTTGGATAGATTTTTTTTTTTTTTTTTTGCATGAACTTATTTTCTAATGGATACTGTCGTATGGTGCTTCTAAACCTGTTCAAGGGTATATATCAAAAGTCTTCTTTGCCTATATACTTCCATCCTTAGATATTTCTAATGTTTATTTTTCCCTATATACTTCCATATATAGCTATGCACTATAAAAATGAAACTGAATGAATGATACGTATATTCAAAATAAAGTCTCTTTCACCTCTGCAATTGTACCTTTATTCTTCATAGCCTTTCCCTTAGAGAACAACAAAAAAATTCCATCTGCAGTTGAGCATTTGTCTCAGCAGGGGGCGTTGTCTCCACAGATAAAGCCTCAAACAATAATAAAAGCTGTTTCTGACAAGACAGCTTTTCGTTATGATGAAGGGATACATTTTATGAAACTTTTTTTTTTTTTTTTTGGGAGAGAGAGAATCTCAAGCAGGCTCCACACTCAACGCAGAGCGCCACGCAGGGCTCTATCTCAAGACCCTAAGATCATGACCTGAGCTGAAATCAAGAATCAGATGCTTAACTAACTGAGCCATCCAGTTGCCCCTTTTATGACACTTTTAAATAAATCAAGCAAACAACAAATTTAAGTTGCTGGTTTTTCAATTCATGCAGGAGTTTTGTCTTTCAGAAAAGTGTCATTTTAACTGAAGTTTGGGTAAGCTATATCCTTTTGAGGTGAATCTAACAAATACTGCCTTTTACTTAAATTGTTTTTTGGCTTTCTAACAATTTTTTCCATGGCTACTTATTGTGAAAAAGGAAGCAAATGTGGAATAGTAGTGGATTAATTCTTCCTAGTTTAGCAGATCATGAGATTTCTTCTTCTTTTTTTTCAGTCTGAAGTATTCCTGTCATAGTGGGTGTAGTGGTTTTCTATGACACATACTCAGAATAATTTGCTTTGGATTTTTTTTTTTTTCCCAGCTCATGATTATTTGGCTGATAGTGCTTTTCCTAAATTCCGTATCCCATCCCACCCTCACATACTATCACTAACATACAGATAGACACATTTATTCCTTCTGCATTATGCCTTCCGCAGCCATGAAAGTATCTTGAACACGTCACTTTATCTAAAGAAGTAATCTAATCCTGCATACAGTTTTAAATGCTTATATCACAAATGTCCATCATTGTCTATAAATCACTTTATGCTTGTTCTTTTTACCTTTATCTCAAATGGCAACAAATACATTTTCTGTAGCATTTTTTCCACAAAGTTGAACAAGTTAACTTTCCCAGGCATGGCTAAGTGGGAATAAATTGAAACAATTCCCCTCTGTATTAACATGGCCACTCTTCACATGTCTCCCTGCACAACCTACATTCCTGGGGCTGAGGTAGAATCAAGCTGTTTGGGGGATGTTAGACGCCTAAGAAAACTAACCAAATACATCATTCACTACCCAAGATACTGATTGCATGTATGTTAGGCATTTCCTAAAAGAATAAAGTACTTTGCCTGGGAAATACACAGCCACTGGGTTTTACCCTTTACCCTGACTTATTTTCAGTTGGGTCTTATAATATAAGAAAATGAACTGTAATGAAATGTATGTAATAGAATAGAATGAGTGCTATTTTTAATTGTGAATCGGGTTGTTTTTTTTTTTTTTTTTTTGAAATAAAAGTCTTTTAAATACTTTGTCCTATAACAAGAGAATAAGATAGTAACTAGATTCTCTAAGATTTATTTTTCCTCTAGCATTTAGGATATGCTCACCCCCTCACTCTCCACTATCATTTTATATTCTGCATTGTCCTCAGTTCTAAATAATGGTTTACTTGGTACAGGGACCAAAGTTAAATCCTCTCCTTGAAATAAAAGATAGGGAAGTAATAAATGGAAATCTGTATCATCCAAATCCCATGTAAGTTCTAATTTTCAGAGATATAGCTTATCCTTTCTGTAGTCAATATAGAAGTCATTAACTACCATAGTCTATGCAGTTAGCACTAGAGAGCTACTCTGGAAGGACTAGACTTGGAAGAGAAGAGCAGAATATGAACCATGATAAAGGCACTACAGAGAATAAGGGATGTCTTTTTCCCTTCTGCAGAAACCACCATCTTGGATATTAAAAGGTATAGCGGGGACTTCTGATTCTCTTATGCCCTACTCTGCAGTGGGTACTTGAGAACAGAGGGGTTTCTTTCCTGACCCAGGAAGTTCAAAAGATTTTGACACATCGGTTGTTGAAGAATACCGAGGTGAGGTAATACATTTATGCTTATTAAAAGAATCTGACATGTTAGAATGATTAATCATGATCTCATTCATAGAAACTGGACATATCCTTTCATCTCTAAGCAGAATTTTGCTTGTAACCCTTGGATACAATAATAATTTTGAGAAATCAGTGGATTTCAGTTATTTGATCCCATTAAGAAATACGAGTTGCTTAAGAGACACACTAGCCTTTCTATTTGTTGTAGAATATCTTTTTTTTTTTCCTGAAATGAGGGCCTGTGAGGTTTTTTTTCTTTAATCAACTCTAGCTTGAAACTTCTGTAACTCTGAAATCTTAAAGCATAGATTTCCAAATCTGACTTTGAAGTATTTCAGCCCAATTTTACCGGCAAGAGATTCATTATTGACTTATTCTTAAGAAATTTCCAACATGCAGTGTTTAAGTTCATCCAGCCTCACCATGGTTACCAAAGAGACACCATAACCCAAGATCAGTATTAAGCCTTTGTCTCAAGATGCCCTGGCATATCTGAACTTGTCTTCTGGACATTCGCCTAACTGCTCAGAAAACTTATGACTCCATCAGTGTCTCCATAAAATAGCATTTTACCACAGATTCTTACTAGATATGCTCTGCCCCTTCCTGACCTCTCCTGATTTAAATGCTCAATGACAACTTTGATGATTGCACTGAATACTCACAGATATGAAAAGGACCCACTCTGCTGGGGTATACGGGTGTGTTTTGAGCACATAACCTGAAACACATGCTTTCTTCATTAATTGAATCTTTTTTTCATATATTTATCAGATATTTAAATAGCTTTAGCTAATTATTTTGTCTCTTCATGGGGAACAACATGTCACTGTAGCTTCTATTTAATCTGATAATGTATTTTGAAACACTCAAAATATCATTAACCTTTTATACTTGTTTTGAATGGCATTTTATGCTGACATTTATGAAGGCTGCTATTGATTTTTCTTCAATGATACTTTACCCCAGAATATCTTGACCTTCAGACAATAACAAAACAACTTGCGCCCAGTTATCTTTACTAGAGTCTGCCATTATTGAATGCAGAGACGTTAGAGTTGATGCCCCCATAAATACTGACTGTGAAGGCATCATGATATAGTTTAAGCGAGGGCTGGATTTAGGAATCTAGAGCTCTTCTGGCCGAGTCCCATTGATTGTTTCTCTTCTCACAGTTATAGCTGAGTAGGATGGGGGACAAGATCATTGGATTTGAGGAGTCTAAGAAATAATGGGCCCAAGTGTAGGATAGACATCTAGAAATATGTTGAAGTCACCAAGAATAACAATAGGGAAAATGGTTGAGAGAAGAATGAGCCAGAGGCCAAAAGTTATCAAAAAATGTGAAGGGGTATCCTAGAATTTGATTCAAGATGATAACTAAGGGTAGAAATAGGTGGTAAAGTCTGAGGCCATCTACTATATATACTTCAAAGAGCTGTGATTTTGTTAGGGAAAAAAAAAAGGAATTAGTGGAAATGCCAACAGAGGACGAGGAAGACACTGACACGACAGGCCCTCTGGAATGTCTGTATGAGAGCAAAAATAACTGGCCTCTACTAGAGAATTCTACAGAAGAAACAGAGCTTGAGGGATAACTATCAGCTGGAACAAGGAGATGAAGCAGTTGAGAGTACAGGGAGTTTGCAGTTCACAGAAGTTGGAATTCATAGGACACAGACGTAAAGTTAGGGAGTGTGGGAAGGGATAGGGCCAGATTAAGGGATTTACAAAGCAGAATGGATATCAGATTTCCAAATGAGGCCAAAATATCTAGACGCCTGGAGTAAACAGAGCTGAGAGACATACCAAGGTTAGTTCCGGTAGTTTGCTAGAGAAGAATGAGTAATCAATTAGGAATGCTTTTGGCTGTAAGTAACTAAGAACAGGAGTGGTTTAAAGACAAGACATAGGCTAGTCCAAATTTGGCTCAGAACAAGCTCTTTTTAATCTCTCTGCTCTGCCATCCCGTACTCATTGCCTTCCATTCTCAAGTTTGTCCTTTTGCTCAAGTGCCAATCCTTCACATAACAGCACCCAAAGTGTAAAGCAGAGGTGGGACAAAAGGGTATTTTACTCTCTTAACAAGGAGAAACATCTTTCCCAGGAGCCCCCAGCAGACTTAACTACCCTTCCATTTCTTGGCTAGAACTAGGTCACCTGCTCAGAGAAAAAGGAAAGCTGTAGGTATGGTTGACTTACCCCATCATAATTCATACCCTAAGGGCTGGGCACATGGTCACCCAGAACAAAATTAATTTGCTGACAATAGGAAGAGGGGTAATGGCTGTTGAATTGGCAAACAACTCAACACTATGGTGAATAATTATTTAGAGTTCAGAATCTATGGATCACTATGATGAATGATTAGAGTTCAGATTCTTTAGCTATAGGGTATAGGGCTGCTGGGCAGCTATTTAGTTCTGAAGCTTGGGGTTTCTGTTGGCTTGTGAGATGAGCAGGGGCATCATTTGGGGTATCTTTCTTAGGCAGAATGCCAGAGAATGGCCAGAGATGATGTGGAGTTACAGCAAGAGATACTGTGAAGTTCTTGCAGTGACTGGTTACTAAATTTTTGCTTGGCTTTCTCCCCACTCCATCTCATTCTATCTATCTGATCCATTTCAAGTCACAGGTCATTGTTACCTCCTCTATCAAAGTCTCTCTCTCCCTCCCCGCTTATATCTTCTTACTTGGTTCCCCTACCATGCTGACTTATCTGACCATCTGAAACATTTTGAATCTGTCTATGCCTGCCTCTCTAATACCATAACCAACACTGTAGTTGATGACCTCACTGTTTCTCGCCAGGGATATTGTAAGTTCCTATCAGGCCTTCCTGCTTATAGTCTCACCCTCTCACCCTCATGCTCACTCAGTGGTTCTCAAACTTTAGTATGCAGCAAAATCACCTGGAGGGCTTGTTCGATACAAATTACTGGACCCCACTCCCCAGAGTTTCTGAATCAGAAGGTCTTCGGTGGG